TGTTTTGCTGATTGATGTTCTTGTATGTACAGTGTCTTTGAGTATTTAGAAAAGCGCTTTTAAATAAAATGTATTATTATTATTATTAAGTATAGTATAAATTCATATTTTTTACCTCATAATGGCGCTGGATGAAAAGTGAAGTGATGAAGTCATTATGATTCATCATTTGGGGAACATGACTGTCTGTACCAAATTTCAGGGCAATCCATACAGTAGTTTACACATTCATTTCACAGCCTCATGGTGGCGCTAGGGTCAAAGACAGAGGGCCACCAAAGACTCAAAGGATTCACCATCTGGGGACCATGAATGTCTGTATGAGCTATTTCAGCCTGGACAAAAGTGGTGGACTGATTGACTGCTGCTTGGTTATAAATGCCACTCTATACAGGCAGTTTCTACTAAAATGTCACAGTGACACAGCTGGCCTGATACTAAGAGGCATTTTGTTTCAGTGTTGGAGCTAAAATTATACTGCAGGATGTTTTGGTCAACAGATCCAGGCGGCCAAAGGTGCAGGAAATGGAGTTAAAAGATCTGAATTACTGTATAAGAGGGAGCAAAACCATGAAGAGCTTTGAAACCACCAAAATAGCATTGACATAGAAAGTAAAGGTGATGAAAGTAGGAGAAGTTTGATCTGATTTTGTAATTTTGAAAAAAAGTTCACAGAGCTAGAAGAAGAAGGAAGAAATTCGCCAGTAGCAAGAGACTGTTTGATTCAAATTATAAAACATATGTACCAGCCAAAATATCAGTTGTTCAGCAGCTGCTCAGAAATTAGATCATAGTGTGCTGGATGTCATTCCCAGAGCAGTGGAAAAGAGAAAGAGGAATCCTCAACGCTGAGCCAGAGAAAACATTTATTACCCCAAAAAAGAAGAAGCAGGAGTCAGGAATTGTGGAAAAAACAAATAAAGTGAAGCTTTCTTGCAACAAAAGAAGCATATTTGTTTATGAGTTGGCCATTGGCTCACAGAGGCATTTGACTGGTTGCTTAAATGAAATGCAATAAGGGTTTTCTTTAATACATTTCCAGAGCTGACTCGAGGCCAAACAGTGTCTTAAAGACTCACTAATGCGCTGCTCATCCAAATCCCCAAAATAAAGAAAATTGCCAAAAAAAAATCGGGAGAGGGCAAGGGCACAATGATCATAAATCAGATGAGAAATTACCCTGCAGGCAGCCCATAGTTCATCACCAATTAATTCAGTAAGTCTGACTCTTCACAGCAGTTTATTTTATCCAGAAAAGGTCAGTAAAGTGGGTTTTCTTGGACGGGGAGCCAAGTGCAGTATTTTTCAATGGAAAAGTGGTGGCCGTCTGCCAGACTCTCAGTGATCAGCTAGTCTCTGTGTACTGTAACTGGAACAGTGTGTGCTGCGGCGTTTATACAGGACAGCTGTATCCATACTGACAACTGCATTCTTCATACATGACTGGACATTGTAGCTCAGTAAAAAGACCACAAAATACTCTAGAACTTAATTTGCTGTTTGAGTTTTGCTACAAGCAACAGAAGAAGCAACACTTGGAGTCATAGTTTTCCCTAGAAACGGAACTACAGTGAAATGAAATGGTAAATATGAAACCAGTTGCTGTACTGGTGGGAATGAAAACCTAAACTGGACCAGAATGAATTTAGCTTATTTTGTTTATTAGGTACATACAGTATGTACGCTCTAATACAGTCTGAATAATGTCTTTAATTTTTGAAAATGTGTCAGTGAAATGTTAATTTTGAAGATGTAGATAGTGGTGGTGTTATGTTGGACTGCATTATATTAGCCTATAAGGTGTTTCTAATATTTTGTATACCTCTACAGACAGGTTGGGGACACACTGACATGGACGGGTTACTGAATGGGCCAACTGGGCCTCTGTTTGGTGTAACGGTTAACAATTCTTGTTGTAAAGTAAATTACAACAAATTGATGCAAAATGATTCCAAAGAGACAGAAAACACCTACAGAGACACAAAACAACTACAAAGAGACACAAAACAACTATAAAGAGACAGAAAACAATTATAAAGAGAGAAAATTACAGAGACACAAAACAACTTTAAAGAGACAGAAAACAATTATAAAGAGAGAAAATTACAGAGACACAAAACAACTTTAAAGAGACACATATTAAGACACATATATACAGCACAAATTGACCGGTATAACAAGTACGTAGACACACAGGACAAGTACAAAAAGAGACAAAATTACTACAAAAAATACAAGGAGGCACAGAACGACTACAGATAGACTAAATGACTGCAAGAGACCCAAAAGGATGATGATGACATTGTGGCTGTGTTGTTTATTGTTGTTTTGTGTTGTCTCATAATCTGTCCACACTTGCTGCCGTGCCATTTGCTCTCCTGATTGAAGAATTGTTAAACAGCAACATTTTGTGCTATGAGGGAATTGCAGCCAATAAAACTCTAAAGAGACACGGAAGGCCAATGCTGAATGTTTACATTAGTGTGCACTAACAGTGTGTGTGTGTGTGGAGCAGTACAGTGTACTGCATATTCAATCAAAATAGTATTATTGGTCCTGATGGTGTTTCATCTGGTGTTATCTTGCAGTGGAAATCTATTGCTCGTGTTAAGGTTCTGTTGGGATTTCCACACACAGCCACGGATAACCATTCATGGCACATACACTGACCAGGGATATTACATAACTGGTTTTCCGGGAAAATCCCACTTGAACTGGAAACTTGTAGGCAACAATATACAAAATGCTGGATTCTCATATGTATATATATGTATATATATAATTATGTAGAAACTACTACCCTGAGGCTGCAATATATGTGTTGTATATACTTTAAAGTGCATTTTGTGCAGTATGATTCTAAAATTCCAACATCAGTGGAGACCTGCAGGGATACCGCAGGCGGCAGCAGTGAAAACAACATACTTAATGTACATTTTGCAGATTGCTATGCATTAGACTATAACAGTGTGTTTCTGTCTGGTTGTGGACCGGTGCAGCAGCCCCGGTGGTGCCGAGCGCAAACGGAGTTGCAATCAGAAGTTCATTGTTAAATAATCCAAAATGATCATCACGACGCTCCCACCCCCGCTCATGCAAGCAGCGCTCAGCCGACGGATAACTGAGTTTATCTGAATGAATCTCACCTCGTTCACGTCTGCAGCCGCTTCAGTCCGCTGGAGGAGACAGAGGACGGAGGAGACAGATCCCTGAGTCAGCAGCCCTCTGCCTCTCTGTCTCTATGGGAGTGAGTTGAGAGATGTTTTCCTATAGATCCCTCCTAGTTTCACGCACACTCGGGCAACAAGTGTGTCCGTCCATGTATTTGACAACAACATCCAGGGGGGTTGACAGCTGCATCAAGGGGACCCTGATGGTGAAGATGAAGGTGAAGTTAGTTTTAAGTTATTTGATTCTTTCCGGATCCAGCGGCGTCCTCTGAGACATGCAAGCTACTGAAGAAAGTTTAGGAATGTTCCATAAAATATAAAATCCAATCAAAAGAGGTGTGTGTCATTTGTCCAGTGTAGTAATATAATTGGGTTTGACTCACTGGGTCAGATGACATAGAAGTTATTGAAAATGAATCATGAATTTTCCATAAAAATATTCATAAAATCCTGAAAAATATATTATTTTCTATTTTCAATATTTATGTAATATTGTAATATATTTTTTAAATGGGGGCAAGTCAGCAGGGAGGTATTAAAATAACACTGGTTTCGTGTCATTCCCACAGTTGTGTATTGATGGCCTGTAAGTGAAACCCCTGTGGTTAAAGGAACAGTTCACCCCAAAAACCAACATCTCTTACGGCTGATATCTCCAAAAACTCAGCCAAACCTCCCACAAAAACTAATCTAGATGAGTTAACAGCACTTTTCAGCCAACAAAGGAAAAAAGGAGTATTACTTGTATTATTGATTTTGGAGTTGAACTGTCCCTTTAAGGAGGCGACCTTGATATGTGTGTAGTGAGGTCCTCTTTTTACTGCCAACACCGAAAATTAAGATAAGATTTTGGATCTTGAGCTACTAAAGCTACACTCTAAAGGGTAGCGTGCACATGTGCTTTCATTCGCTCACAGTTCAGTAACTGCAAAATAACACACATTTCATCAAACAACAGGTATGGTTTTAAAGGTTAGTAATGCATTCACAGCCATCTCTCCTGGATTATAATGCCACCAATAACTGTGTACAGTGGAACATTGGCAGAGCACTCTCCAGGGTCTGTGCACACAGTCACTAACCCTGGTCATTCCCCCATGGGTGTGCATTTCCTCTGTGCTGAATTCCTTCATTCCTCCCGTTTGCTGCAGCTGTAGGGAGAAAGGGTGTGTGTGTGTG